AATACCATGCAGCCCCAAAAAGAGTGGCATAGAGCCACATGCACTAATATGAGGAAGGGGCCACAGAGGGCATCTCACAGACATATACTTCAGTAGCTTAAAGTCAGGCACAAAAGAGAACATCCTGTATGGTTCAGTTTGTCTGGAGTGCAAGAACTGGAAACACTGATCTGTAAAACAGAGAGCAAAATAATGGCTACTGTTTGGGTGGGGAGTGAAGCAGGATGCTAAGAATGCTCCTTTCTGGATCTTGGTGGTGATGACACACTGTCATTAGGGAAATGCATTAAGCCGTCCCTGAGGTTTCTGCATAGGCCCAGGTGCATACGTTGGGTCCTGGATTTATACTATGCACCTGTTACCGTGTAATATATATCCAGGAAACTTACCCTGTTAGACAGTAAGCTGCATGGGTCAGGAATATGGTGCCAACTGTCTGGGCATTTTTCAGGAAGGTACACTCAGGGCACCCACAAGACATGATCCTCTAGTGCCAGCTGGTCGGCACACTTCTCTGGCAAGTCGGTGCTGGTCCTTGATGCTTGGACCTCCCCGTGGGACTGCTTGAGGGTCCTTGTGACTTGTTGGCTAGCTTCTTGCAGAGCAAGAGATTCAAGGAAAGAAGTGAAGTGGGAGAGAGATTCAAGGGAAGAAGCTGGGGTGTGACTATTTCGAAGTCCCATGTAAATATAACACAGAGAAGCCCACCAAAAACTGTTCAGAAGGAAGGAGGGGGAGGGTGGTTAAGAAAGGTAATATAGAGGGGATATGATCAAGATACACTTTGTAAATACTGTAATGAAACCACTTTGTACAATTAATTTATGCTAGTAAAAAATTTAAAGGCCAGGCCTCAGAGGCTTATACCTATAAAACCTAACTACTTGGGAGGCTGAGATTAGAAGGATCGTGGTTCGAAGCCAGTCCAGGCCAATAGTTCATGAGACTCCCTTTCCTCAAATAAGCAGAGCAAAGTGGACTGCAGGTGTGGCTCAAGCAATAGAGCACCTGCTTTGTGAACACAAAGCCCTGAGTTCAAACCCCAGTTCCACCAAAAAATAAATAAATAATTAGAAATTTTTTAAAATGTGAGCAAACGAGCAGAGGCCACCATCACTTCTTCTTATTCTATTTGTTTAGAAGAGTTGCTAAGTCCCTCCCACACCCAAAGTTGGACACTTAAGCTCTACTCTTTCTAGGCAGTTATATACCAAAGAATTTGTGGGCACATTTTAAGACCACCACCTGTTACACATCAAAAAATGATGTGATAGAAAACAATGAGTTTTAGGAAAGATGTTTTCTGTGCTTTCTGAGGGGGATACTGAGCTGAGCTCCAAACAGGAAAAGCAGCCCCTGAGAGATTCAGGAAGAACACTGAAGGTAGATGGAAGAGAAAGCTGGGCCATGACAGCAGCAAGTCTTTGGAGAGGCACGAGGAAGGACAGAATTGACTAAGCAAAGAAAAAGAGCAGACATGCAAGTTGGGGAGGCCACAGAAAGATGTTGGGACTTTGTTCTAAAGATGAGAAGTCATCAAAGAGGTTTTAGCATGGGGCACTTCTCCTGTGATGGACACTGAGAACAGCGTGCTCTGGCTATTGTGGGTTGATCGCATAGTAGTGGAGGGAGTGGAATCAAAAGTGGTGGGAGAGGGGAAAGACAACAGCAGGTTGGTGACAAGTCCCCGGCTTTGCCTCTGGGGTCCCACATACACTTTTCCAGGGCTCCAGGTTTAACAGGCTGCTCCCAGTATGCATACTCTGCTGGAAGCAGTAGACAGGTGCCCAACTGTCTGTGGGGAAGGTGGGAAGAGGTTTCTTTTTGCCCTAAAGAACATCAACCATAAAACAGAGCTTTGTGTCATTCCCCAGGGTCCTCCTGTAGGGGCCATCTTACCCATCTCATGGACTGGCGCGCTGTATCATGGTCCTTCCAGGGAGGATACCTCCTTTCACAGTGTTTGTATCCTGGGAGAGAAGTTGGTGGTGGCCACTGGCTTTGACTGTGACATAGGAAACCACTTGGTGTCTCTCTGGAGGCAGGACCAGCCATGAAGCTGGGATAAAAGATGACTTCAAGCCATTTTTCTTCTCAGGCCAGGGGCATCCCATCCTTGCTGCACCATTTACACTTGGTTTTGAACTTTCTAAGGAGACAGGCAACAAGACATAGTTTAAGTGCCTCAGCAGAATCCAGGTATTTTCCGAGTTTGGAGAACAGAAGTCATTCAGAATAGAACAAAGAAGCTCATGTGCTGCCCTTGAGCTTGGATTTCCAAGTCAGCTTTGGCAACCTTGCCATTCCTAATATCCTGGTCTTCTGTTCCTTTCCGACAGACCCCCCCCTGGGTTCTTCTGTTCTTCCAGGGCACAGATTCCCCACACTCCCATCTTGGCTGCACTCTAGCCAGGCAGTTATTTGCTTGTTTGATTCCAGACTAGAGACATGGCTGGAGGTTTTGGGCCGCCTGCTAACTTGGGCTATCATGCGATAATCCCTGGAGAAGAAGCATGTCCTAACATTTCTTCAGGTAGCTGAGGGGCCCTTAGGCCTGGCAGCTATGTTCTAAGTCCTGATGCCACTGACTGTGTGACTTTGGGTACCACAGTTCACTTCTGGGGGACACAGGACCCATGACCGCTGAGTTGCTTTGCTGCTCAGGTAGGAACGACTCAGTACCCCATCAGCTGCCAGGATGAAGGGAAACAGATCAGCCAGTTGGGGACCCAGAGGAAATGGCCATGCTGTCTCAGACAGGTCCCTGCACAAATATCAACGAGGTAAGAAATGACACCTATGTAAGAGGAGAAATCACTGTGGTATTGACTTGTGAGCTCATGATTGGTGACTTTCCAGTTCACTGTCCTACTCACTTGGTCACACAGTGAGAACATTGAGAAATTGGAGAACGTCTCAATTTAGGTATTTCAACCTCTTCTCTCGGTATGAAGTGAAGTTTGTGCTTGCAGGCCACAAGCTCCTTCCTGTACGCCAGGTAGGCCACAGTGAATGGCTGGGCATTTTGTGGGCTGCACAAAAGTGCCCCCCTTGGGGGACAAATGAAGCTGATGTCCAAATGAGTCCTGGGATAGCTTAGCAAGGTGTTGGGTTTGCATATTGGTATAAGGAATGGAGATATCTGTGGAGCAATGGGTGAGGGAACAGGCTCTGGAAACAGATGGTCTGGATCAAATCTGCCACCTAGAAATAATGTGCCCTGGGAGCAGCGCTTCAGGTTTGCTTCCTTATCTGAAAAGTGGGATAACGGCACCACTTGACTCGTGTAGAGAAGAAATAGCAGTACGGGACCTGTCGTGCAGTAGGTGGTCAATAAATACTTATCTGTTGGGGGTGAGAAGTGCTACTCATTCACTCTTCTCCTCCCTGGATTCTAACTGATAAGATGCTGGAGTGGAACTTTTATTTTTTTAACCGACTCAGGTCCTATGGCCTCACTCTGCAAGGCACTCTGGCTCCAGGGCTGGAGTCCTGAATGTGGGGGGAGGGGTCTTCTTGGAAGTTCAGATCATCTGAGCCAGGTCACCCTGTCCAGTGCAGCAGCACCACCCCCTGGCCAGTGTGGTCCACACAACATGGGGCTTTGCTGATCACATGAACCGTTAGATAGGGTGGTCCTCCCGTGGGCATGGCCTCCCCTGTCGCCTAGCACTTAAGACAGAAGAGCCAATGGAAGTTCTGCACCAGGATCCCTGGTGGGTATGGGCAGAGTGGCGGGCTTTCTAAGGACTCCCCTCACAGAGGGCACTTCCCCTTCTCAGAAGGCCACTCCCTCCACACATGGCCGTGGAACTAGAAGAATGCAGGCCTTGCAGATCACCTCTGTCCTCCTCCCCTCCTCCATGTGCACAGTAATGCACAGATATTCGTGGTGGCCACTGCTAGTCACCGGAGTACCAGCATCTGGAAAAAACTCCCAGTTCCCTACCGCACAGGGGTGGTCCATTTGTCCAGGTTATGTTGAACCCCTGTGCCCCTAGCAGCTCTGCGGTTTTTTCAGTAGGAAAGACGAGTGTGGAAACCTGGTCCGCAGAGGCCCCTCAATGTTGGTGCAGGAAAATGTGGATCTAGTGCGGAAATGCCCCGGAAGGCACTGTGCTCACCACCACTAGGCTTCTTAGGGCCATGAGAACAGGAAGCAAGATGACTGTCAAGGTTTTTTGAGTTTGTCATGCTCTGAGTGAGGCCTAGAGGCACAGCGCAATAGCAGCGGGCACCCTGCATGGCCAACAGGGTTATGGAGCAAGGGCACAAGGGGTGGGAATGGGAGACTGGGGGCATGACCCAAATCCTGCCTATAGTTTAGGGTGGACTTGAAATGGTGCCTGTTCTCCATGGCTCTGCCCCGATTTCCTCCTGCTGTAACTGAGCTTTCCTTCTGAACTCTAGCGTCTTGCTGGTTCCACTCCAGCGCCTTCTGTTATAGCTCTCTGTGTGGCTGTGTGCACAGAGGCCACATGAAGAGAGTGGGACATTGTGAGTTTGAGTTGAACTCGGATTCGGTCACACGTTAACTGTGACACTGGCACATCGGGTGGCCTTTCTGAGTCTTGTGTCCCTCATCTGTGAAATAAGAATAACATTTGTAAGACTGAATATGGCAAGTACACCATATAGAGGTATACACTAAGCGTTTAATAATGGTTTTGATAGACTGTGAGCTCTGAGAAACAGAATCTCATTCATCTTTTATTCCCTAGCACCTGGTAGGTGCCAGGATGTGTTTATTTGAGTCAAATGATGAATCACTTTTAATACAAAGTTATTTCTCAAAATGTCTGTGTCCTACTTATCATTCCATAAGTAACTTTAGCTATGTGCTTTTTTGCTTTTGTAGTGTTTAGTGAAAACAGACAGACTGCCCCGTGTGATGTGTGAGCTTCTGAGAAATCTTCAAGTTATTTCCTCTTACATCTGGTTGACACTCTCAACAGGCTGGCATAGAATGACCTATCAAATATATGTGCATTTTCTTCCAGATTCTTAGAATTTGCACCAGGTATACCCCAGAACAAGACACCATGACCTTTTCCGATGGCCTTACCCTAAATCGAACTCAGATGCACAATGCTGGATTCGGTCCTCTGACTGACCTCGTGTTCACCTTTGCCAACCAGCTCCTGCCTTTGGAAATGGATGACACAGAAACAGGCCTTCTCAGTGCCATCTGCTTAATCTGTGGAGGTACCATCTGCCTGGAGAACCCCTCATGCGATTCCATGAAGAACAACTTAGATTTTATAGGGAATCCCTCGTCTCCATTTTGGGGCTATTTTGCAAGGAGAAAGGCATGTGAATACAGCATCCATGCCTGGGCTTGTTGTAAATTTATTATTTATTTATTTGGTGGTATTGGGGGTTGAACTCAGCTCCCCAGCCTTGCTAGGCAGGCACTCTACTGCTTGAGCCACTCCGCCAGCCCTCATATTAATATGTAAATTTTAAAGTGGCACTAGGAATCCTTACACTGTGAAAGATATGCCCAAATACTAGTTCTCCAGTTGTCGCGGGTACTTTTTTAAAGGCAGGATGATACTATGGTAAAATAAATTGCCTAGGGACATTTTAATGATGACTTAAGGGACTTGCGTGTTCTGTTTGTTAACAAAATGGCTAAGAATACAAGTTACTGCCTGGGCCTCCTCCACAGTCCTTAGAGGACTGGGATAAAGCATGGCTTTCTTCTATGTGGTGACCCCTGCTGACTCACACAAGGCTGCATCTCAAGTGGTTAAAAAGTAATGGCTTTAATTAAGGGGGAGATTTACCTTGCTTTTATAAGCAAGGTACTTCAGGTTTGTTTTAATTCAGTTCAATACTGACATCTCCTGGTCATGAGAGGTAATTCTTTCCCGGAGCCAAATCAACCAGGCATCAAACATGCTTTTCCCCAACAAGGGGGACAATTATTTTCAAATATCACGGCTTAAAGCAATTGTATATGTACTCAAATTAGTATGTGATTGAATCCCAAATTAATAAAGTCATAATATAGTAGGAACAGGAAACGAGGAGGGGGAAGTGGGCAGAAGTCCTGTAGCCTGGAACGTACATAACCCTTTCTGTCCTGACACTAATCAATCACTTAATGCTTTCTTCCTGGTGTCTAGACCGCCAGGACCTTGAGGAACCAACAAAAGTAGATAAGCTACAAGAACCATTGCTGGAAGCACTCAAAATTTATATTAGAAAAAGACGGCCCAGCAAGCCTCACATGTTCCCAAAGATCCTAATGAAAATCACAGATCTCCGCAGCATCAGTGCTAAGGGTACGTCTGTCTGTACACTGCACCACAGGCACAAGTGCAGCTCAGGGCCTTGCCACAGGGAACTGTTTCTAAAACCCTGTTTTTTAATTCAGGATGTTTAATAGTTTTGGAATGCATATCTCATTGAAAGCAAAAGGAATTAAGTAACACGCACACACACATACTACACAAAAAGAAAACCTCAAAATCTGACCCTAGGAAGTTTCTTTGTGAGAGGCTTTAAATTCTGTAAGCATGAGATCACCGACAGAAGCAAAAAGCAGGTACGTTTTTTTCTTTGCAGTACCAGGAGACTGCCCTTGCTAGGCAAGCACTTCCTTGAGCCACACCCACAGCCCTTTCATTTTTGTTTTTGAGATAGAGTTTGCGCCTTTGCCCCAGCTAGCCTCAAATTACCGCTCTCCTGCCTCTACCTTCCAAGTTCCTGAGATTACAGGCGTGTTCCACCACACCCTGATCTTGATTGCTGAAGTTCTAAGGTTCTGATACTAATTAGAAAAACACTGTTTTCCAGAAAATATACTATATGGCAGCTTTTTAAGTTTTCTGGTTTCATTCCCAGTTTTCCAGACATTTCTGATTTATAGAAACTTGACCTCAATATTTCCTTAACATTGGCCTTTTGGCTAAAATCAAGTGTGAACTTAAGAAAAGTGAATAGTACTTGTTATCGCTTAAATTTCTCTCCCAGTCATGGTACCCACTGTTCTCTTATGTACAGGCAGATTTACTTCTAAGCAAAGGAATTTCTGCCTTCCTGAGAAGTATAATATTCCTTGTCTAGTGAGTTTCAGTTTAGGTGGCAACTCACGCAATTACAGAATTGCCTACAGCCATATCACGGTGGAGTGTTAAGAGTCAAGATTCTCCATGTAGAGAGATAACTGAGCAGTCATCCCTTCTACCACACTATCATTTCCCTCTCCTTCCCTGTTAGCCTACTCTATACCTTGGCAAGCCAAGGAACTAATTCTACATTGCAGAAAGTGAACTTGCTTGACAAGGAGTCTCAATTCTTGAGCTCCTCCTAAGAGGTTCTTGTTTTGGGGGTTTGTTTTGTTTTTGGTTTTTTTGGTGGTATTAGGTTTGAACTCAGGGCCCCATGCTTGCTAGAGCCATTCCACCAACCCTCTTAAGAGGTTTCTTTAGTGAAGTCCATCACTAGCATGGGATGAAGAGAAGTAAAAAGTAGATACAAATGCTCGAACAATCTAATTATGAATATACCTTTAATTTTTTAAAACAAGGCTGTTTAATATACTGTCAATCTGTATAGCGGGCTAGGCTAGGGATATCTAACAGAATTTACTGTGATTGTGTAAATTCTCCATAATCGCCACATACGTAATATAGTAGCCACGTGATTCCAAGCACTTGAAATGTGGCTAACTCAACCAAGACACTCTTCCCAGTTGTATTTAACTAGCCACAGTGACTCCTAGACCACTGATTACTGAAGCCAGTTCTTCCATTTGTGGGTAACTGGTATCCTTTCAACTGTCTCATTTAAAAAATATACCCTTTCTGGTCTGTTATTTGAAACTTCTCTTTATAAATTGTTATTTCCTACAACTGAGGCATTGGAACTATCCAATTTATACAATACTCATCTCTGCTGCTTTTCTGGCAGGTGTTTTAATGTTGTGATGTTAGGTAGGACAGCCTCTGGGAGGCAGTGTTTGCATAGAACAGCCATGGCTTTCATAAAGGATGAGTGAGGCTCTCATAGTGAGGCGACCTCAATCAGCATTCTGACCCTGAACTGCTAAGCACCCAATCTACTTCTGATCTCACAACATACTAACATGGCTTCTGGTGGATCCACTTCCCATTCTAAACACACTTATGTGTGCATTTGTGAAAACTATAGTAATAAACAGATCCTTTTCAACAAGGATAAATGCCACCCTGCTATATACATTTTATAACTCAAATAAGACTGAGGAAATACCACTCTTAAGGCAGATGAAAGTTCCCTCTTATCTAGCTTATTTCCTTATCTTAATGAGGTTTCTATTATCTCTTCTTAAAGGTGCAGAACGTGTAATTACCTTGAAAATGGAAATTCCTGGATCAATGCCACCTCTCATTCAGGAAATGTTGGAGAATTCTGAAGGACATGAACCCTTGACCCCAAGTTCAAGTGGGAACACAGCAGAGCACAGTCCTAGCATCTCACCCAGCTCAGTGGAAAACAGTGGAGTCAGTCAGTCACCACTGGTGCAATAAGACATTTCCCAGCTACTCCAAACATTCCCCAGTACCTTCAGTTCCGGAATTTAAAATGCAAGAAAAAACATTTTTACTGCTGCTTAGTTTTTGGACTGAAATATATTAAACTTCAAAGAAGGACCAAGAAGTTTTCATATGTATCATATATATATATATATATATATATA